AGGAGTTGCCCTTGACCCTGCAAAGGAAGCCTGTACATTCTAAGGATTTTACACATATTTTGGGAGCTGTCATATTAAATCCGTGAGAGAGGACTTTAACCTCGTGGGAGAGTTTTCTTCCTTCTAAGGCAATCTTCTGAGTCAGCGCTCTGTCTGGAAGTCTTTTTTTTTTAAATCTTCTCCTGGCTTTGCTCTGGTGAATAGCTGAACAAAAAGGAAAACACTGATCCTTAACAAAGAAGTAGTAAAGACTCTGATAAGCCCATGCTCAACTCACTCTTATTGAGTATTTTTTCTTGTCTGTTTAGTTTGGGGTGATAGGAGGGGAGAGGGTAGCAAGAATTGTATATGAAGTTTTGTTGCCTTTTATAAATGCAGAGCATGAAATGATAAGATGTTGAGTAAGAAATATGTTTACATTATATATACCAATTGCCATTGAGTTGACTGGCTCGTGGCAACCCTGTGTGTATCAGGGTAGAACTGTGCTGCTCCATAGTGTTTTCATTGGTGAATTTTTTGGAATTAGATTGCCAGGCCTTTTTTCTGGTGCACCTCTGAGTGGACTTGAACCTCCAACCTTTTGGTTACCAGCTGAGTACATGCAGTTCAGTAAATTATATGATATGGTTTTTCTAGCCATAATATTTGTAACTCCCACATTGCCATGAGTAACTGAGTAGCTGCTTGTTAAAGTCATCCACCTGGAGCACACAAAGCAATCTTCTAGGAAGTTTGTGCTCTCTCTCTCAGATGTATAGAATTCTGATGTTGGAATTGGTTAGTTTGGCCACTCTGCTAGGCTCAAAAGGAGCCCTCGTAGAGGTAGAGGGAGTATCTCTGACTGCTGACTGAGAAGGATGTGCTGCTGAGAGATGTGAGAGAAACACACTGCTGAGAGAAGAGACATGTGCTGTGGAGAGAGACTGAGAGAGACTGTCAGCTGAGAGAGATTGAGCACGTTCCTGAACTTGAATTGTAGCCTATTGCTTCCTTAATAAACCCCATAATCTGTGAGTTCTGTGTGGCCACTGCAGCAAATTATCGAACCCAGCAGAGAGGTGGTGGGTACCTTGGGAGGAACAGTTGATGTTAAGGTTGGTAAGAGGGCTGGAGGGTGGTGGCATGTCTTGCCTAAACGGAACAGGCCTTGGGCTGCTGATGGTGATTCTGTCCTCCTCTTGTGCAGTTAGAGGTCAGAAGATGCCACCTCCCTGCCCCTTTGGCAGCACATTAGCCATTTTTTTGCCATCCAGAGACCGCATATATGTTGCGTAGGTACCATTGAGTCAGTTATGACTCACAGTGGTCCTCTGTACAACAGAATGAAATACTGCCTGGTCCTGCATCTTCCTTAAAATTGTTGCTATATTTGAGCCCATTGTTGCAGCCACTGTGTCAATCAAAAAACAAAAATAATTTTTTTTTAAACCAATGGGCAGTTCTTGTGTGTTCTTATTCCTCCCTCCCCGAGTGTGTCTTTGAATTCAAGTTTCCGATGCTAGTAGTTTATTTGGAAATGTAGGAAACAGTGGTAGAGAAGTGGGAAGGTGAGACAGAGAAAGGAAGGATGCTTTAATGAGCCGGAGATAACTGTGGGCAATAATTTAATCCTGAGGGGAAACAGTGTAGAGCACATGCCTCAGAGTTATTCCATCTGAGAGACAAGGAAACTGGAGTCTTCATACACCAACTCTTCTGTCATTGGTTGAGGGCTGCTCTCAAAGAGTGTTCATTCCCCAGAGCAGCCTGTGGCCTTCCTAGGCTTTGGAGAAAGCCTTCAGGCAGAGATACAGATGCTGAGGGGAGGTGATCTGTCAGTGTACAAAGCAGTAAAGCCTTAGGGAGATGAGCAGGGTACTGAGGAGTGAACTGCGCCATGCTTCCAATATCTGTTAAAACAGCGGGCCTCTTGAGTACCATTGCTTTATATTTGCTGCTCTACATCTTTACCCGAGGCACATATCTATATTGCCTTGACTCTTCTGTGAATTACCTGGTACCCTTCTCTCTCATAATAGCAACTAGTGATTTCTGCTCTATGTCATGGTAGTTGTGTAGCTACATGTCTTATATTTTAAGCATAACTTAAGCTCCTTGACAGCCCTAGATATTACCTTATACATCTTTTAACAACCATAGTGCCTAGCATTTGAGACAGGTGCTGAGTTATCATGTGATGAGTGAACCATTCCCCTGCTATTTCTGCCCAACAGGCTGTGAGAGGAAAGTCTTTGACCTCCTGAATTTCATCATCTTAACTTCAACCAGCAAAGTGTCAGAAACTGTGAGGAATTACTAGATAGACTCTAAAGTCAGGGCAATGAAGATTCATCTTTTCCTTCTTTTTTTTAAAAGAAGCTTTGTAACTAAAGTATAATAGTATTAGTTCTGAAGACTAGTGAATCAATTTTTAAAGTATTTAGTATTTTTGTGAGGCTTGAAGTTATACATATATTGGACTGATTCTTTTTGAAATTGTTCTCAGTGTCATTTTCAAGTAAGAGATTTTATTTAGAAAACTGAAGACCTTTCTTTTTCTAGAGAAATAAGCAGATGGGGCCCAAAGGCAGAAAGTAATGGTGATTTTAACATATGCTAAAGGGGCAGAAAGCCTGCATCTTCTGATCTCCACTAAGCCCACAAGAGGAAGACAGAATCACCATCAGTGACCCAGGGCCTATTCCTGCAAGTCCAGACATGCTGCCTCCCTCTAGCCCTTTCATCAACACTGACACCAACCATTCCTCTCGCAGCACTCACCACCTCTCTGCTGGGTTCGATAATTCACTGCAGTGGCCACAGAGAATTCACAGATTATTGGGTTTATTAGGGAAGCAACAGTCTACAGTTCAAGTTCAGGAACACTCAGTCTCTCTCAGCCTGCTGTCTCTCAGCCAACAGTCTCTCTCAGTCTCTCTCCACAGTACATGTCTCTCAGTGTCTCTCTCAGCAATGTGTGTCTCTCATGTCTGTCAGCCAGCAGTGAGAAATTTCTTCTGCCTCTAGGAGGGCTCCTTTTGAGCCTGGCAGAATGGCCAAACTAACCAATTGCAACATCAGAATTCTGTACACCTGAGAGAAAGCGAACTTCCCAGAAAATTACTTCATACTGCTCGCAACAGAAGTACACCAGGTGGATAACTTTAACAATCAGGAGCTACTCAGTTGCTCATGGCAAATTCCGCCATGGAGTTTACACAGACTTATGTCTAGAAAAGCCACACTATGTAATTTACTACACCACAACATAAAAATAAAAACACTTTTGTTCATTTTTGGAAATAAATGAGCTCTCAGAATTGCTCCCTTGTTGGTTCTAGACAATGCATTTATGAGACCTAATTAAACTAGATCTAGTTTAGTGTCCCATCTTCTTGGATCCAGCAGCTTGAAGCTGCCATATAAAAGGAGCTTGCTTATGCCCCTGTCACTAAATCATGGCTGTATTGGTAATGGCCTTCTGCTTAAAGATTTCAGCTAGCAGCAGGGAAATTCAGGAGACTTGAAAAAAATAAAATACCTACTACTATTATGTGTGGAAACTCCTAGTTTGGGCTTTCCAAGCAAGGACTATGATCACTTTAATTTATCCTCTTACTCTGAAGACAAAGTGAGTAGTGACCCCTTCCTTAAGATGTTTCAGAAACTGAGAATGTCCTTTGTGCTTAAAGGAGAAAATACTGCGATGTCCTGCCCTTCCACTGTGTATTTTCATAGAATAGGAACAGTTAATAAATCTTTGTGAGGTATGTGTTATTCCACAAGAAGGTATAGTTAGTGTAGCTAATGAACATTGTTTCAGTCTCCCTACCCAGATGCACATTGGGAATGGTGATCTGCTTCCAAAAGTCACAGCCTTGAAAACCCTATGAAGTAGTTCAACTTTGTGCATGTGGGGTCGCCATGAGTTAGAATCAACTTGATGGCAGCTAACAGCAACAATCCTAATAGATGAGAAGGGAATGTGCATAGCATGTGTCCTGCATGCCACACTCAACAGTAGGCACTTTATTAAGAGTTGTTCTAAATTGAATCCTGTTCATCATATTCTCATTTTATCAGTGAAGAAATGGAGGCTTCAAAGTTTAATATGTTCATTAGTCATATAGCTAGTAAGTGGTAGAGCTAGAAAATGACAGATTTAAGCTCAGTTCTGTCTGACTCCAAAGTCCATGTACTTTCTGCCCCAGAATTGGAATGACACAGAATGAGTGTGATGGTGACCTGTGGCATCTTTAATTAATCTGTAGTCAGTGGAGATGAGGTATCCTTTAGTCAATGAACTGAGAGGTCATTCTTTAGATTATAGGTAAATAACTGGGGGGATGCATGGCTTTTTCCCATTATTATTGGTAATATATTCCCTTATGCATGGGTTGAAAATCTTTATGGGGCTTAGAGAGGACTTCTTTTCCCACTAAAACAGTTCATCAATGGTGTTTTTGTGTCATTCTACCTTTGACGTGAGTTATAAGTTAATCACTATTCCTGTTCAGAATGTCTGCTCTTAATCATTCCCAGAAATATATGCTGGCAGAATGTCCTATGACTATATATCCCAAGACTGTCTCTCCCTATAAAATCCTCTGGAATTTAATGGAACCATTTTTATCAGGGATAGAAAAACCTACAAATCAATTCACCTTTCCTCCCCTTGGATTCTAGCTGTTTATCAAAGTTTTTCATCTTACATTGCTAACAGAAACTGAAAAACTAGATCCCAGTCCTTTTTATTCTTATACACATTAGCCTCATGCCAGTTGACTCAATAGTGGTATCCTAAAATTTGTCATAAGATCTACTGCTTCTACCCTCTCTCCCCCCAATTCTTCTTATTAGCCAATGAGTCTTTTGATTTGTAAGTATTTTTAAAGGGGGTATTTGCTGTGCAGTGCCTTATGAATATATGTCTGTTTATCAATTTTTTAATCCTTATACAGAGATATATTTATAAATAAATACAAATATTAAATATATGTATTTTTATGTCCAAACAGTACATTCTGTCGGGCTCTGATGACTTCAACCTGTACATGTGGAGAATCCCTGCAGATCCAGAAGCAGGTGAGTATATCCTGGATAACCTAGTACTAATGTTGGTTCTGTTGACTTTTGGCTGTAGCCCTGAAAGGATAGATCTGTAGCAACAGGGAAAGATATTTCTCTTTTAAATAATAAGCAGTTTATCAGAAAAGTGAACAAAGGAAATTTTAAAATAAAAATTAGAAGCTAAATTTAACTGTAACCTTCACACATAGCTTTATCTGGCATAATGATGCTCAGACATTTTTCTTCTAAGCAGTTTTCTTTAAACCTCATAAAACAACCAAACCAAAGCCACTGCTGTTGAGTCAGTTCCAACTCATAACAACCCACATTGGGTTTCCAAGGTAAATCGTCACAGAAGCAGATTGCCCCATCTTTCTCTTATGGATCAGCTGGTGGATTTGAACCACTGATTTTTTGGTTAGTAGATCTCCTTTATGTCCATTTTCTTCTCTCCTCCTATTTCACACCTGGAATTTTTTTTTTTTTTTTTTTTTTTTTTTAATTTTTATTGTGATTTGGGTGAAAGTTTACAGAGCAAATTCATTTTCCATACAGCAGTTCACATACACTTTGTCTCATGACATTCACTGCAATTTCCCACAGTGTGACAGCTCTCTTCCCACTTCTTCCCCATAGTTACCTCTTCCCTGTGTTCTTCCCTCCTATCCACTTCTGCCACCCAATCTGTGCATACACAGCCCTTCTATTCTCCCACAATTAATCTCTCCAAGGAGTTTCTAGCTAATGTAAACATTCAGCTCATACGCCTGACTTTTGTTTGGCTGGAAGCCACAGGAGTGGGTTCGATTCACCTAGAATATTTTTATCTTATAAATGCTTTTCCTGTATTATCCCTCTTTATATTCCAGCTTCTTACTCTACAAACAGTTGCTAGAACCTCTTCCATTCCTTTGGCCTCCCTGGTGATATTAACTAAAGGAAGGCTTTCTTTGTTGACAGACAGGTACATTCCCTGGGGTTTGGCTGGCCTTAGAGACCAACCACTAATGCCAAAGATGAAGAAATTAAATTATTTTACTAGTGTCTGCAGTCTGAAATTGATCAAACATGCAATCAAGATGCATTAACTGTTGATTTGAATGTGGAAGTTGGAAACAAAGAAGAAGGATCAGTAATTGGAAAATATCACCTTGGTGATAGAACGATGCAGGAGATTGCGTGATAGAATTTTGCAAGACCAACAACCTATTCATTGGAAATACCTTTGTTCAATAGCATAAACAATGACTATGCATGTGGATTTCACCAGATGGAATATGTACAAATGAAATCAACTACATCTGTGGAAAGAGACAGTGGAGAAGCTCAGTATCATCAATCAAAACAAGGCCAGGGAATGATTGCAGAACAGACCATTAATTGTTCACGTTCAAGTTGAAGCTGAAGAAAATTAATACACGTCCACAAGAGTTAAAATACAACCTTGAGTATATCCCACCTGAATTTACAGACCAACTCAAGAAGAGATTTAATGTGTTCAACGCAGATAACTGAAGCCCAGACAACTTGCGGGATGACATCAAATACATCATAATGAAGAAAGCGAAAGATTGTAAAAAAGAGAAGAAAGAAAGTAAAAATGAAAATGGATGTCAGAAGAGACTCTAAAACTTGCTCTTGAACATAGAATAAAAACAAATGGAAGATAAGATGAAATTAAAACTGAACAGATTTCAAAGGGTGGCTTGAGATGACAGAGTAAATTATTATAATGAAATATACAAAGACCTGGAATTAGAAAACCAAAAGGAAAGAACAAGCTCGGCATTTCTCAAGCTGAAAGAACTGAAGAACAAATTCAAGCCAAAAGTTGCAATATTGAAAGATTCTGTAAGCAAAATACTGAACAATGCAGGAAACATAAAGAAATATTTATATATATATACAGTCACTGTACCAAAAAGAGTTGGTTGATGTTCAGCCATTTCAGGAAGTAGCATATGATCAAGAACCAATGGTATTGAAGGAAAAAAGTCCAAACTGCATGCAGGAATTGGTGAAAAACAAGGTTCCAGCAATTGGTTGGTGGAATATCAATTGAGATGTTTCAACAAATGGATGCAGCGTTGGAAGCACTCACTTGTCTATGCCAAGAAATTTGAAAGACAGCTACCTGGCCAACAGATTGGAAGAGATCCATATTTGTGACCATTCCAAAGAAAGGTAATCTAACAGAATGGGGAAATTATCAAACCATATAATTAATATCACACACAAGTAAAATTTTGCTGAAGATAATTCAAAAACAGTTGTAGCAATATGTTGACAGGGATCTTCCAGAAATTCAGGCTGGATTCAGAAGAGGATGTGGAACAAGGGATATCATTGAAGATGTCAGATGGATCTTGGCTAAAAGCAGAGAGTATCAGAAAGATGTTTACCTTTGTTATATTGACTATGCAAAGACATTCAACTGTGTGGATCATAACAAATTATGGAAAATGTTGTAAAGAATAAGAGTTCCAGACACTTCATTGTGCTCATACAGAACCTATGCATAGACCAAGAGGCAGTTGTCTGAACTGAACAAGGAGATAGTGCATGATTTAAAATCAGGAAAGGTATGCATCAGGATTGTATCCTTTCACCCCACTTATTCAATCTGTGTGCTGAGCAAATAATCCGAGAAGCTGGACTGTATGAAGAAGAATGCAGCATTAAGGTTGGAGGAAGATTGCTAAAGGAGCAAGGGGGTGGCATCTTCTGACCTCCTCTAACTCTGCAAAAGGAAGACAGAATCACCGTCAGCAGCCCAAGGCCTGTTCCTGTGAGGCCAGACGTGCCGCCACCCTCCAGCCCTCTTACTAACCTTGACACCAGTCGTCCCTCCCACAGCACCCACCACCTCTTTGCTGGGTTTGATAATTCGCTGCAATGGCCACACAGGACTCACAGATTATGGGGTTTATTAAGGAAGCAACAGGCTACAGTTCAAATTCAGGAACATGCTCAGGATACAATTCTTTGGTCAGGACAGTCTCCACTCTGCTGTGCCCTTAGGCATGACTTTCTGACCCCTGTCCTCTTGGCCTGGCCTCTGCTTCTATGGGCCAGGTAAGCCTGCTGCTCTGCCTCATGCCTCTTGGTTCCACTGCTGCCGTCTCTCAGCTGGTGTCTCTCTTGGCACATCTTTCTCACCCAATAGTCAGATTCCTTCTGCCTTTAGGAGGGCTCATTTTGAGCCTGGCAGAGTGGCAAAACCAACCAACCCCAGCATCAGAGTTCTACACACCTGAGAGAGAGTGAACTTTCCCAGAAGATTACTTGGTGCTACCCCAACAGAAAGGAGCTCTGGTAGCATAGTGGCTAAGACACTTGCCTGCTAACCAGACGGCTGGCGGTTCAAACCCACCAGCCACTCCTCGGAAGGAAGGTTGGGCAATCCTACTTCCGTAGTGATACTGCCTCGGAAACCCAAGGAGGGGTCGCTATGAGTCGGGACCAACTCGACGGCACATAACAACAACAACAACAACCCCAACAGAAACACCCCAGGTGGATGACTTTAACAATCAGAAGTTTAAATTGCATGGTCTTACCCACTAATCCAGTGGGAGTTACAAAGACTTTGGGTGGAAAAGGTATACCATGTAATTTACTACACTACAGGCCACCCTTTGGCTTTTCTAGCCATTATCCCTTTTATACTTCAAAAATTAACATCCCGATCTTCACCATCAGGTTAAGAATAACCACATCCATGAAAGAGTGTAAGCCACCCACTTCATACCTTTATCTCCCCCCATTTTAGATAGCCAATTCCTAATTTGCCTACCCCTATCAAACCAGTGCTCTGAGGAGACAAGCATGTTCCCTTCTCTCTGGAGAATCTTCTGTTCTGCTTGGAAACTTCGGGCATCTGCATCCATAAACAAGCAAAGTCAAGCCCAGCGCAAGCCATCATGTTGCAGCAACTTAACACCAGCTCACTGTCAAACATCTTCCTCTTAATTTGGTCGGGTTCTGGTCAGCTCAGCCCTAGCCTAGATCATGAGTACCAGCTGCCAAATTTGGGAGTCACACTCCTCCCTTTGCTTCAGACCCAATCTCTCTCTCTCTCCCTCTCTCTCTCAATCTCTCTCTCTCTTTGTCTTTCTCTCTCTCATCCTCTCATCCTTAATCCTCAGGGACTAGTTCAATGCCTGTAGGCTCCACACAACTCCTTGCACTTCAGACCAGCCAGCCCTTCCTCTCATCCGTGGCCTGTGTGGACTAGATCAAAGAATACCAAACTCAGCCCATTTGGTCATTGCTGCTTCCCCCATTTCCACTCTTCAGATGGTCCCAGGTGGTCACAAATGAGCAGCATACAAGGCCATCTACTCGCCAGCTTCCTTTAAGTTGGCAGTCCTGAAACAGGACTCACTGGCTCTTCCTCTTACTGGCCCTGACTTTCCTGCCTCCAAGCACCCAGAGTTTAACTGCTTGATCAACAGTTTTTCTTTTTTTTTTTTTTTTT